CCTCTCTCTGTTCTTTTAGAGCTCCTCTTGTTGAGACATCACTTGTTTAGACTGACCTGTAAATTCCGGCTAGGTTTTTTTTTTGGTCTACCATCTGCAAGTGGTGTCAACTTCCTAAAACATGGTGAATAAAGAGTGAGCTCAAATTTCTGAGTGCTCTGCTTAAAGAACCTTTCTTTTATCGGGAACAGTTGATCATATTTTGGCCTTTCAAACAACNCCCCCCCCGGCCCAGGCCCTCTCACCAGGACATTCACTATGAATATTGGGGATTCAAGCAAGTTAAACTTAGTCATAGCACCTATTAGGTTTTGGGTGGAATGAATAATATTTCCCTTTTCATGTTTTTTCAAGAGAGTATGTCTCATGTATTGGAACTCCGCTTCAGATGCAACCCAGCCATTTGACCAATAATTTTGTTTATTAATTACGAAGAGAAAAGTAAATAGGAGGGTTCTGCAGAATCCATTTTGTAACTCACAGTCACCAGTGGTGTATGAGGTCATCGGTTGAGTTAAAAGCAATTCAAAATTTTAAGCTAGTATTGGCAAGCAAAGTAAGGAAGTACCATGATAACAGATCAAGAATTGACACGCTCTTCTTTCTTAGTACATCAATTATTCTGCAATTGCATCAGTGTAGTTCCCAAAACACCTTAAGGCGATCACCAAGCAGTATGGTGAACCACATAAAATTGATGATTGAGATCTAAGGTTGGCCTTCTTAAGTGTGTATTGTTGGAGTTAGCGTTGGTAGAAAAAATATCATTTAGATATTGAACTGTATGAGTAAGGGAGAAACTTAATGACCCATATAAAAATCATTCACTTAGCGGGAAACTATGAATACTCCAGTGAGTGACACATATCAGAGAGGGAGGGAGAGAGTTGAGCTTGGGTAGATCGTTAGCAGGGTTGTCTCTCTCGGAAATTTTCCTCATTCATTTTCTGGCGTTATCTCTAACTTCTGCTTTCCTTTTCATTGGTGAGATTTGGGCCGTGACGGAAAAAAGGGGGGTTGACCTCATGCTTAGCTAACATTTTTACATTTGTTTTGCACTGTTGGAGCAGATTGTGCTGAAAGAAAGTTCATCGCCACAAGATATGTTGAAGTCATTGTTTCATGTCAATTACCTGTACTGGTTGGAGAAAAATGCAGGAATCAAGTCGAGCAGTGTAGCTAATGACTGCAGGCCTGGGGGAAGGCTGCAGATATCTTTGGAGTATGTTGAGAGAGAGTTTAATCATGTTAAAAATGATGGTGAAGTAGCAGGTTGGGTGATTGACAGTCTCATTGCAAGGCCTTTGCCAAATCGAATTCGCTTGGGTTATGCAGCTGTATCTTCTGTTGCAGAAGGTTGACCTTATATTACAAGTCGTGGTTTCTCTGAACAAGCTGTTGTTGCCAGCTCAAGTCATCCCTCATACCCTGTGGAGCTGCCAAACCATGGTGATGTGTCACTTTGGATTTGCATCTACAGGCGGAAGAGCTTGAAAACGATTGGTAAAACCCATTTCATGACTGTACAATGAGCTTGCAATGGTATGTCATTCAAGAATTGGATGATGCAGTACGCTGGTTGAATGGTGTGGGTTCTTGTGAGTATCTGGATTTGGTTTTGAGTGCATGGTTTTGTTGCTGCTATGAAATTCATTGGATCTTGATCAGATAATGCTGCAACAGTGTTGTCAAAAGGCACATTTAAAGCGCGCTTAAGCCCTGAAGCTCAGAAAAGCTCAGGGAGGGCGCTTCGCGTCGCTTCAGTGTAAGGCAAGACACTAAGACATGCACCTCATTGCCCATGAATTTTATCGTGAATCAAGTGGCACTAAACAACAAATATGATCAGAAAATAAGTGTAATAGCTGTAAAGAAAACATTATGAATGAATTTTGTTAGTTTGTTCTTGAATTACATATATTTGTTGATCCAAAGTATGTTCTCTCTGACAACTATGCTCCTGTGGACGAACTTTCTCCCACAGAATGCGAGGTTGTAAAAGGGTCCCTTCCTTCATGTCTTAACGGCGCTTTCATTAGAAAATGGTCCTAATCCACAATTTATTCCTCATGGACCTTTTCATCTATTTGATGGTGATGGAATGCTTCACTCTATTAAAATTTCTCAAGGTAAAGCTACATATTGTAGTCGTTACGTCAAAACTGACAAGTACTTGGAAGAAAATGAAGCAGGTTTTCTAGTTTACCCTAATATCTTCTCTGGCTTTAATAGCCTCACTGCATCTGTGAGTCATAGAGCTGTGTCTTTGGTTCGCGCGATTATTGGACACTCCGATTCCGATCCCATAAAAGGTATTAGAGTTGCAAATACTAGCTTAGCTTTATTTGGAGGCAAATTATTTGCTCTTTGTGAATCTGATCTTCCTTATCCTATAAAAGTAGTATCAAATGGTGATATTATTACTATTGGTCGCCATGATTTTTATGGAAATATTTCCTCAAATATGACTGCACATCCCAAAATTGATCCAGAAACTAAGGAGGCTTTTGCTTTTTGTTACGGTCCAATATCTCCATTTTTAACCTATTTTAGAATTAACCCTAACGGGACCAAAAGTTGTGACGTACCAATTTTCTCTATGACACGTCCATCTTTTGTACATGACTTTGCTATTAGCAAAAATTATGCCATATTTCCTGACATACAAATTGAAATGAACCTTTTTGCGCTCATCACTGGGGCTCGCCGATGAGTTCTAACCCGAGAAAAGTGCCTCGCCTCGGGGTGATTCCTCGTTATGCCATGGACGAGTCGAAAATGAAGTGGTTTGAAGTTCCAGGGTTTAATATTGTGCATGCAATTAATGCATGGGAAGAAGATGACGGTGATACGATAGATGATTGCGCCAAATGTAATATCGGTAGAGCACTTCTTGAAAAGATTGGACATGACACATTCTTCAGTTGAGAAAGTAAAGATAAACTTTAACACCGGGATGGTAACTAGACATCCCGTGTCAACGAGGAATCTTGACCTAGGAGTTACCAACTCGGCTTATGTTGGCAAGAAGAACAAGTACGTACCACAGTAATTTATGTTTTTCTGAGGTGGTTTCACCTCTGTATGAAAGTTAGTACTAAACTATTTGAACCTTGTTGTCTTCGTCACTAGCAGAGCAGGATTTTCACTTAGGGGATTTAAAAAACAAAAGAATTAAACATGTAAAGAAGCTAAGAGGATTCAAACATCATATATATATATATATATATATA